TTTTATTTAAAAAATTTTTTGGTGGTTACAAGGTTGGTCAATTTGACAGTTAGAGTAGAAGAAATAACATACAAGATATAAAGTTTTACTGAAAAATAAAGTTATATAATTATTTAGGAAGTTTTAGAGATTATACAAATGAAATTTAAAACTTTCAGATGAATAAAAGTATTTTCAATCTTAACATGAAAATCACTTTGCACTCAGATTAGTAAACAAAATTATGGGATATATTCAGACAAATCTTCATGAAAGATAATCAAGTAAAAAATCTAAATTTTTATGTATAAAAATCTTGTAATGTTTACTGAAAGTCTTCCATTTTTGACTATATTTCATATTTTTCAATCTTTCATTTCTCTGTACATTGATGATTTCACTGTAGAGTAGAAAAAATAAGAAATAAGGTAAACATTTTTATCAAGAAAAACTTGATATTCATTTAAGGGATTTGGATTAGAGAAAGAACACAAGGGAGAAGAATGATAGGAGGATAGGCATCAAAGTAAAGGTTGGTCAAATTCTGACTGAAAACATCTATTGCCAAAGCTAAAGGATGGGGAACCATAGACCAAAAGAGGGGCAGTTTAGTAATGAGAAGGGTGGCAAATGCATCCAGAAGAAGAGTACCAAACTGAGAGCATAACCACCAAATAAATTGGGGAGCAACAGACCACTCCATAGGTAGAATCTTGTCTGGACAAGATAACCAATCTGCTACAAGATTCAGAGCACCTGGAACATGACAAGCAAGAAGGCAGACTTGCTTAGACTTGGATCAGAAAAAGGAGATCCAATGTTCGAAAGCAAAGTGAAAATGAATGGGTGCTCTCATGTTGACTGATGCAAGAGACAATGATCAAATTGTTTATATGGATCATGACCAAACAGACCTGTACCAAAGGTAGAAAAAAAGATCCAAGGCTCAACAAACTGCAATAAGTTCCAATAAGTTGATGTGGAGGGAAAATCCGATCATTGTCCAATGACCTGCAATCTCCTGAGAATCCATACATGCTCCAAATTCCATAAGAGAAACATCTGCAAACAGGTGAAAATCAGGGCAGGGAGGAAGCAGAGGAATGTTAGGTGAGATGTTGTCTCTGTTGAGCCACCAGGCAAAATCTACTTGGAGGGAAGGAGAGAGGATGATGATGGAATACAAGGGATCCCAAACAAGATTCCATTGACTGTGCAACACCCACTGAAAACCATGTATGTGTGCATGACCCCAGGATATAAGGGCTTCCATGGATCCTCAGATCCCCAAAAGAGATCAAATCTTGCATGCAGAAAGAAAATGAGAGGATCTGACATTGGAAACCAAGAGCTCCATCAATCTCAAACAAAGTGAAGAAGGTTGGGCCCTTCTGAGGAAAGTGTCGAAAAACACTCCCAAATGAATCAGACACTGTGTGGGGTTGAGATAGGACTTCTCCAGCTTGACTAACTATCCCACCTGAGCAGCCTCTGCAGGAGGAAATGTGTACGAGCGAGAGAGGCTTGTTGGGAAGTAGCCAGTAATCCATGTAGTAACTGAACCACAAAATTTGGTGATAAAGATGGTGAGCAAAGGCTCTGACAACATGACAGAAGATGTTAGATGCTGATGCCAGACCAAAAGGTAAATTGTGAAAATGGAAAACTCGAGCTCCATGTATAAAACAGAGGTAACATCTGGAGTCTGGAAAAATAGGGATATGAAGGTATGCAACCGAGATATCAACCTCTGTCATTCAGTGACCTGGAGTGAACAACCACTGAAACACGAGAAATACTCCATGGTGAACCAAAGGAGGTCAATGAAGCAGATGAGGTTGGATAGGTCAATGATAGGACACAAATTCCCAGTCTTTTTGTGAATCACACAAAGCCGAGACTAGAACCCCCCCATGAGAAAGGTGACATACTTGTTTGATAGTGTCCTTGTGTAAAATATCTCGAACTGCTTTTGACAAGAATCCTGACAGGATCCTGTGGAGGAGGGAAGGAAATGGGAAGAGTGGATAATGGGAGGGGGGAGATGATGAAGAGAAAATCCTTCTGATATATCTTGAAGATCTCCAAGGATCTGTAGTGAATGGATGCTACAGATGGACAAACCTGGCCAACTGTGACAGAACCTATTGGATAGTCACTGATGTAACTGGTGTTGGAAAACATAGCAATTTAGCATCTCACCTCTCAAGCCCAGCAAGAATGCATGGGTAGTGGGGAAGAAACATGAGGTGAGAAATGGGAATCAAAGTAGGAGAGGGCTGGGAAAAATGAGAAATTAAGAAGGTTGGGGAGGAATGTTGATGTAGAGCATCCACCCCAGATTCCAATGTATCAGGAAGATCCACAAATACAGACTTGTGAAAAAAGGGAGTCAAATGAAGATCTCTTATATAGGAAGCAGGGAGATGTACATGTAACTAGAGGGCATCCCTGTCAAGAAAATACCAACAATAAAGGAGCCCTATCTCAATATAGTCTCCAGATCAGACCTCCATATCTGAATCAAAGACTCCAAAGTCTGAGAGTCAAAATATGGAAAATCTGACCTACGATACCCCAAAGCATAGGAGTCATATAAATGTGAAGGACAAAGCATGCTGTCACCCAAACATATTTGTGCTAAAAATTTATCAGCATGGAATCAATTATAAGGAGAGACAGGAACATTAAATAATTTGACAAAGGTGCAGAATGAATGAGGGAGGAGAAAGAATAAAAAACATAGGGGAAATAGATAAAAGGTAACATACCTTGGAAATCATTTCCAAAAAGGCAAACAAAGGACAAGAAAAATCCAAAAGGGAAGCATGGGATTGCATGGCAAAGGAAGGAGGTGGGAACAAGTTGTACAAATTCTTATTATCCTTATCAAATTCACCTGAGAACGAGATATCCAGCCCTGTATCTGGAGACAGCAGGCTGCATGAGAATTTTCATTTTGCAGACCTCCTCAATAAAAAAAAGTAGATACTGAAACCACAGAAGTAATAAATGGATCAGCAGTGGCCTGATTTACAACTTAGGTCGTATTAGAGGCATTAAAGTGAGAGTTCATGATGTGAAAATTAAAAGAAAAATATTCTACAACAAACTAAGTAAGCAGAAATAAAATGACAACAAACTAAGATGTCAAAATACAATAAAGTGAACTGAAAATTGTACACAAAAATTAAAAATACTGAGCAAAATTAGAGCACAACTGCATACTGGAATGGCAAATCGAGAAGCGATGAAAGTACTCTACAGTATAGAGGGAGTCAGATGCACTAGAAGAGTGTTGAATGATACAGCACAGCTATACTATGTGTAAGCACTTCAGAGTAGGTGGGAGCATCAAGGCTAGTGGCAAGCAAAAATTGAGCATATAGAGGGCAGCACGAGGCAAGAAAAGGTATTATGTGAGAGGAGGTAAGGTATCATATTGGAATATGAAAATTGTAAGACAAAAAGAAGTATTTTTATACTTATCATGAAAATCTTGTTTGAAACAGACTGACTCAGTAAAGGTTTCATAAATTCACAGACAAATCCTTAGCAAAAACTCTTTATTAAAACATTATATTTTTTGTATGCAACAGAATTGTAACTTTACTGAAAGCTTGCCAAGTTTTGTAAAAATACACGTAGTACGTTCAGAGTTATGGTTACATGGTGACTACAAGATTGGCAAACTAATTGACTCATATGCATTTGTTTAAATAAAGAGTTTATCATATTTGAAAACATCCAGGACACATTCTCACAATGTAGGGCATGACTTTCCTTTCTCAATAGACACACTTCTAATGCAAAAAGTTTTCTGATTTGCATGTGGTTCACATTTTATCAATTTTACATTGTGGAATGAGGGGGAATGAAGTATTTTTTTTATTTCAAAAATAAAGATAAAATATAAAACTGAGTCATTACATCAAAATGAAATATACATTTTGAATCCCTGTAAACTCAGGTTTAATTTATACCATTAATCATCTGCATATAACAAATACTTTAGAAACTAGCAGTTTTGGACTCAATCTCACGTTGAGTACATAGATCAAGTTCTGGCCTGTGATATTTTAGGAACATTTGAGCTATAAACCTGATGAATGTTTTTATTTATAAGTCTTTCAACAGAATCAATCAATCAATCTCATGAAAATGGAACACACTTCATGAAACTTTGCTAACATCACTTACGACTACTTGCATTTACTAAGACATAATCCATAGTCTACACATTCAAAATACTTTTCTGAAGAGGCATACATAGATATCTAGAGAAAAAAACTGGAATGGTTGGTTGTTTTTGAACACCAACTCTTACAATGGTTATGCTCAACAAGTATAAATATTATTTACATCATTAATTTAAAAACAGCATTTGAAATACACTGTCATAGAAAATATATTGAATAATATCTCCAGTAGATAACACAAGATAAGTCTGTATTACTGTATAACAATTATGGATGATACAAAACACCGGATCAATTGATTTACCATTAAGAGAATATGGTGCATCTAAGATTTTGAAAATTACGTTAATTAACTAGAATTCAACATACTTACTTGCATAAGAAAGTATATTATGCTAATACAATAGTAAATTGACAAATAATAGCTTAAAAGTAAAATGAAAATTATCTTATGTAGAGAACATACTACATGTTTCAACAGAAAATCATCTTTCTTTTTCAGATGAAATATGAAGTATTTCTCTACGTGAAATATTTTCACTATTCATATAAATTTTTGTTTGTCAATTTACCATTCCAACATACTTTTTGTAATGGATTTCAAAACCAAATAGCCATGCCACAGTGTTTTGAAAATAATCAATTTGTCTAAATGCATATTGTACAGACAAATGTGAACACTGTGAATACTGAATTGTACATGTTTCTGTTTCAAGATTTTAGGACAGCAATGTCACAGAATTGCACCAGTATACACGTATAAACATATCAAGACTGTAGATGAAACACAAGTTAATCAAAATAACACATAAAGAAACTCACATTTCCAACACACTTCTCTTAGAAATACGACCCGTCATGGTAGGTTCATCTTTATACTTGTGCCCATCTATTATATCTGTACATACACCCTAAAAAAAGATAAATTTATAAAGTTCAAGTACCAAAAAGTTAAACATCCAAACCACAGACCTATAGTGATGTTATCTTTGAAAAGAGAACTATATAAAAACAAAGCATACAAAACCTGAGGACTCATCTATATTGCAAACTCATACAATTTCCTTTTAAGAAACACACATATGCAAACATATCACTCACTATTTTGTTTTTACTTTGTGCAAAACTGTACATTCTACTTTACCAAATACTATTCATAGTTATCTAACTTTAAAATCCCTTTAAACTTTTAAGATGAACTTGAATCAAGTAGCAAACTCAGATACATATTTCTAGGCATTTAAACACATTGAAATTTTGATATTGAATTACATTAAGTGATGAGCTATGCTGCAAAATCTGTATGTTTAAATGAATTGCAAAAACAAATCTGACCAATATTTAGCTGAGATGAAAGCTGTGCAACATCAACGTTAAAACATCAAGAAACAAATTACTTATGAACTACCATTTACATGGTGTCCAAATGCATAAAATTCCTCACTTATACTAAATTTTAATCACATGCGATGTCTAGAGTACTAGTTATACAAGTCAAAAAAACTATCTTTAGAACAGAAGCTTCCATGCTGAATTACATGGATTAAACAGCTGCTTTATATTAGTTTATTCACCCCACCCCCCCAGTAAATGCAAAACCTTTAAAACAAAGTGTTCATATCTTTAAAAATGAAAAAGTCTTTACCTTTGGAAAACTAGGAATAAAATAAAGACTCTGATAAAGATTGAGAGTGTAGTTAAGATAAGACCTGCTGCCTTCCTCAGTAATGCTGCAGCTCCCACACTTTTCCAAAATAATAACTTACAATGTACAATCACAAGGAAAAGAAAGAAGGCAAATAGCCATTAGCCACATCAAGATCAGAGCTCATCTATAAAAACAAGAATGTGAAGTTGACATGCAGTATGGACAACAGATTGAGAGTGTTGATTAAACCTTAAAATTTCAGGTAATTGATTCAATGCAATGAATTAGATCAATGTATTTCTAAAGTGGAAGTTTGGAATTAGCTGTAATTACGTTTTAGTGTTTTTATTTCCTGAGTGTATAGTTTTATTTTCCTTTTGTTTTAGAGAACTGTCAATCTTATTATTTTAGATTTAGTTAGTTTTTTTTTTACTTTGTGACTATAAAATTGTAACTAAAGATGAGTTTTGTTACTTATTAATAATTACAAGATAAAACATATTTTCATACCTGCTACTTTTAGTGCTTTTTTTATTTATTTTTGTATTGTCTGGCTCTGTAGTTGTTTTTGTTTCATACCTGTTAATTATGAACAGGTGCATTACAAGGGTCAATATTAACGGTTTGTGGGATATGATAAGTGTAAAGAGTGAGTGATTTTTCTTTTGAAATTATCATTTAAAATACAGTTTCTAAAGGACTTGAGTGACTTGATGGAGTTGTTTGAGGTAAAGTTTAGACTTTTCTCTGGGAAAATTTGCAGGATCATAGAATGAAAGGTAAGGTAAAGAACTTAAAGAAGAAAGGAAATAATCAGAAAATTATGAAGTCTAGACTTTTTGAGAAGGAAGAGGATGAAAATAATTACTTTAATAAAGTGTTCCAAACATGATATAAGCCACTGGCAATTGATGAGGCTGGGTAACGAAGAAGATCCTAACAGGGGACTCTTTAATTATATACAGGTACTGAAACTTTTGTGAGGTGATTGGAGAACTAGGACGAAGAATTACTTATCACATGCTCAAGTTCAGACTATCATACAGAGGTTGTACAGTAACAGAAACTAAAGAAGATTATCTGTACTGCATATTGTAAATAGTGGTATATATATAGTGGTTATTCATATAAAATGCATGCTTCCATTTATGTCATGACATTTTTAAGAATTTGAAGTTATTTACTACAAACTTTATGCAAATATAATCTGCTAGTTGATTACCTTTGAAAGAAAGTAAAATATGCACCCTTACCTTTCATTTACTGTTTGATTTGATGAGTAACTTCTTTTATAAAAATAGCACAGTTCCATTCAGAAAATGAGAATCACTGTATTGAATAGTTTTGTCAGATAGATATGTGGACTATAGAGTACATTTAGTTTGGATTACTATAAGAGGTGACTTTAACTATCTGTCTTTAAAGAAGAAAAAAATCAACCAAAACATAAAATCTAAGCTTATATAAGTTTGATTTGTGATGGTAAAATATAAATGGAAAATGTCAAACTATCTTAAATATATATTAATGTGTTATGTCGATAAGTATGAAAATATTTGCTTTGCTGCTTCTTATTTAAAATAACAATATGATTGTGGCATTATTATTAAATAAATATATTCTGCAAATATCATTAAACTCTTGGGTATTTCTACCTGTATTGAGGATGCTAACAGTTGAAATACTACAGAATGACTTGGATCAATTGGCTACTTGGAGAAATATTTGTCAAATGACCGGTCATCATAATTCATAGCAAGTGCAAAACAATGCATCCAATTTATCATAATTTAGATAACTGTTATTATAAATGGGAACCCACACAACAGCATGACTAAAGAAAAGAAATCTTGGCATACTGATGGATAAGTTACTTAAGCTATCAAGGCAGTGCCAGTAGCAAAGCTAAAAGGATTTTATGGAGTATTATATACATACTGAGTCAAAAGATTTAATTATCTTTTTTATATGAATTACTAGTTACACTTAACTTTGTATGCTATATTCTATTTTGATCTTATCTAAAAAAGCAATTGAGTTATAATAAAGAGTTTCATAGTAAGGCTCCTAAAATGATTCTAGGAATGGAGGTTTGTCTTATGGGGTAAGTTCTCTTAACTTATATTCTCTTAATATTCTATTAAGAAGGTTAAGAGATAATCTAACTGAAGTTTACAAGGTTATCTGGGAGACCAATATGATAAAGGGCTCTGATTGTTTTGTGTTACATTCTGAAGAAAACACAATGGAAGAACATAAGGTTAAGGTTTAGAAAAAGCAGCCTAGGCTACAGTTAAAATAGCTATGTTTCTAACAGGGCTAATGGCTTGTGGTATAAATTGCCATCAGCAGTAGAAGAGCTTGAAATGAGAATAAATAATTTCCTGAAAAATCAAATAATGTGTTTAATTTTTGCTTTTCCTCAGGGGTGGATGTGCAGGGACAAATTTGAAGGACCAATTTGTCCCTTATTGATCTTATGTCATGTTATACAGTCTACATGTAAATGATGAGGCCTTAAAAACACATTTTATAGTTACTTTTACCAGAATCCTGGAACCTGAAATTTTACATGTATAATTTACTGGGTATTAAAGACTTATTTAAATACAAAATTTAAATAAAAACTCCCACAGAGATTTATTTCATTTGTCTTGTACAGCTAAAACTCACTGAAGAAATACAAAACTAGTCAATCAATTAAATTCCTGAACAACCTACCTATCATGTGGTGTTGTGATCTCAATCTGTGGTCTGCAAACCCTTAGATGTCTGTGAGCATTCTAAAAGAGATCCAAAATGGTAAAAACTGAGTTTCCATATTATATAAAAGAGAAAAGTAATGATAAAATATCTGACTAAATGAAAATAATGTTTTATATGAAAATGTCATTAACTTGTATATTTATGTTAATTCTACTTTTATAAACAATAATATTAGCTTCTACAGATGCATCTAAACATAAAGGTCCATGACTCTTTTTTTTGATTCATGAAGGAATACATGAAGAAATAAAAAAATTTGGAACCACTTATCTAGTGCATATGTGAGGACTAAAAACATAATTTTCATTTTATTGTATTCCACATTCTCAAATGGACTGCACCGAAGAAAGCTTGACTTTAATATTAACTCTTTAAATTGAAAGTTTGAAACACATCAGTACAATACTAGTTTTCAGATTTTAACTTTCATTTATGAGAGAAGGTAGCTGTGTCATTCATTCTGGCCATTCATTAATTTAGTTGAATCTATAGATAAAAGCATATAACAAACTTTCTTAAAGTTTGGAAAAACTACACGTTCAATGATATACCAATTATATGGGAAAAGTTTCAAAGGAATACAATGCAATGCTTGTAATAATAGCAATTACATAATTTAGTACTCTTAGTGTAGTTACTAATGGTTTAACAAAAATTCTCTATTTGACTTTTTTAGGGTCTATAATGTTAAAATATTTCTACTAGTACTATACAACTTCTCCCACAGTCATCAAAACTGCCAAACTACAAATTTGAAGTGATTTGTTAAACCAGTGTTACTAGCTAAAGTCATAATAAATTGTAATGTGCACTAACGAGAAAATTAAGAAATTTTAGAGCCAGGGCACTTTTGATACATACTACATAGGCCTTTCTTTATCATTTTGAACTTAAACTGTTGAAGGACAAATTGAGGAAGAAAGGTGTACCTTTTAAAAGTTCTCTGGTTATACTTGTTTGTAAGTGAATTATTGACCATTGTGTTAAGCCAAGGGTTAAAGTTAATATCTAATTTTAAAATAAAACGAGTTAAAGTCAAAACATTTTATCCTGAACTGTAAAATCTAAAGATTATTCTATGCAAGAATAAAGCTGACAGTAATATAGATTTCGGTTGTTGTTGTTTTTAAGTACAAATTGCCTTATCACTAATTATAAATCATACTGTTAATGTTATATTATAATAGTGATAATGTACTTACTACTTTTATTTTTAAGTTGTACCACAAATCTCTAGTTGAATTTGAAACTAAACTAAGAAGAGCTTGAACTTGAAATCATACATTACTACTAGTACTAGTTACTAATAGTAATAGCAAAAAGCAACAATAGTGTATCTGCCAACACAGTAACTTGAATTTTAACACTGGCAATAATGTAAGAAGCAACAACAGTGCCTCTGCCAACACAGTAACTTGAATTTTAACACTGGCAATAATGTAAGCTGTAACTTGTATTCTAAATATTGTAATTTGAGTTGTAACTGTAGTCTACGAGAAGTAACAGTAACATCACCACTGTACCAATAACTAACGTTATATACGCATTAACAACACAGTACTAATATCAGTATCACTACAGAATAAATTTACGTTACGCTACATATGTGGTGTCAATGTCGGTGGCACTGTAATCTGTACTAGCTGTTTCTTTTAGTTTTAGTTTTACAAGAAATTTGTGATTTGTGTCCAGGTTGTTGTGTATGCAGTATTTTTCCTCCCCCAAAACTTAATTAAAATAGCTAAACTGGCTTTAGAGTAAATTTTAACATTAATGAGTCACTTACGCTATCAAAGCATCATTTCTAGTTCGTTATCTAATAATTTATATTCTGCAAAATTCCTAACTGAATTGATATTGACTAGCACAAACAATATTCTATTTTCCTATTGATTTACGACAATACAAAACTATTAGTGAATTTTAGATAAATTAGAAAAATGAAATGAACTCTATGATACAGCTTACGTTGCCTGTATCAGTTACACTACTAATTTGTTATCTTCACCAGTTAAAATTAATTTCAATCAACTGTTACGCCTCTGGTCGTATGTTAATTTTCCGTAGAAATTCTTTCCGAAAAACTTCAGCAATACAAGTCCTTTCTTAAATAAAACTAATTTATTTTTTTCTCAATACAACTTTGCAATACACTTAATTCCCGCAGTCAGTTAACTTGAACAAACACTATAATTCACAACGAACGATTCACGCGCTTGACTCAATTCTCGTCTCTATCTCTGTCTGCAATTCAATTCCATTGTTGGCGTCACTTCTTGGCGGTCTTATATACAAGAATACCGAACATCTAGTAAACACTCGAGCATTCAAGAACCTTCGAGAATATCATGACGTGTTACTAGTGTCTCAGTCCG